CTTATTATTATATTCTGTCCTTCATTATACAATAGTCAAATCCATCCAAATTACACAGAAAAATCTACATACAACCATTCTTTCCATAACCTTTGTTCAGAATCTGAATGTCCATTCCTGTTCCTGCTGCCTTTCTGTAAGGCAACGATTTGCTTTGCAAACAGATCATTCTAAATGCAAAATAATCAAGTACAGTCTCCAAAACAGGTTTTTTTCCTCTCTTCTTTTTATACCTCCTGAGACATTATCCGGTGCTTCTCCTGAAGATGATCAGCCAGTTCCTGCAGACGTCCATTCTCGTGTGAAAGGTAGGAATTGAGCTCCAAGACTGCTTCTTCCATCAGTGAAATATCTGAGACAAACAAAAAGAAGCGAATAAAGAAGGTAGCTTCTATTCTTAAACAGTAAAGAAAGGTAAGTTAAAAGGAGTTTCTGTTGTTAACTGCTTCTTATTACACCTCTCCTTGAAGTAGTATCTTGCATTCACCAACCAAAAGGCTTTGCCATTTAACATACCATTCATTCCCATCTGTTACCATCTCTTAATGCCAGAGATCATTCCAATCATATCAATACCAGCAACATAGAAAACACTCTTCTATTACACCAACATCCTACTGCAGGTTAAACTCATGTGCAAACCTATTTCAACACATGCTAATAAACCAAATGACAAATTGCAACTGAGTATAGGCTCACACGATAGCGCTGGCATTACCGCAACAGTCTGAGACTGCCAGTTAAGCACAGTGGTATTTTATCACACCAGCTCTATATTTCTCAAAGCTCTTTTATTAAAGCATGTAACACTTTGGACAACAGGAAAAAAACAAAGAGTTGGTAATTCTACCTAAATTTTCCACTCAGAAAAGATTAGAATTCTGCCCCTAAGCCAACAATTTTTTTCAGAGATTAATCTGAGCATAAACTGCTACATCAATTTTTGGACTCTCATCATTTATGTTTCTTCTGCAAAACTGTCTTCCATTCAAAATCAACAGTCACACTGGATACAGTGATATTAGATGGTTCCCATCGGGCTTAAAGCCCACAGAAAATTGAGAAGACTGTTACTCTATGCCTTTTAGTGAACTGCAAGTGAGAAGTCCAGCATCAGTTTCCAATATTGTTTCATTTCCTTACTGGTAAGCCTGATGAGGTTTAATCCGTAGGCTCTCAGGTGAGCAAGCACACTATAGACAGAAACAAACCTCTCCTCAGCCCAGTGCTGTGGGCAGAACTCTCAGCATTCATATTCAGAGGCAGTTATCATATTCTTCTAATACAAAGCCTTTATTGAAGGTTTTGATCATTAGGCACTAAAGAGGTAAGCAAATTTATTTTGGGAACTAAATGAGCTTACAGCCTAGTCATTCTTAATTCTTAGAATGCAAGATCACATCTAAGATGGAATTAAACAGGGATCCTTGAGCATCATCCAGGGATCCACCACTTTGGCCCTACCTCCACTATTCAGTTTGTGTGACAGCACATCCACTTTCTCCTGCAGTTTGTCATACATTGTCACAATCTGGGCAACAGCACGCCGGGAGGACTCCACACGCTCTTGCAGCTGAGATTCTATCTCCTCACTAGTGCTGCTGGCTAGGGTTGCTAGGAAGGAAAATGCTGGCTCCAACCCTTCACCTGGGAACAGAAAGAAGTGCAAGAAGTAAGCATGCTCTGGCAGAAAAATAACACTATTCTTCATAATCGGAAAGCCTGTGACAGCTTTTAAAAAAACAAACTAGTAGCATTCACAGCTGAAATCCATCTTTTCCACCATCCCCAGCCACATGCCTCACCTCTTTCCCTTTCATCTTTTCGTTCCTGATTACTGTCTGAATCTGGTTCAGGTTCTGGTACAACAAGTGCTTTTCTCTCGGACAGGAGGTCTCCAAGGCCTTGGTCCAGGTCAAAACGTTTAAGGATGATGCGGATATTTTCATCAAACTGAATAACAAAGAAAGACAAGACAAAGGATGAATGTAAGTGAACAGAAGGCACAAGGAGAGGAATATTAATAAAATATACACATCACTCCAAAAGCAATGCCTCCTATTTATTTCCACTGAAACTACAACAGATAAAAAGAGCACAGTAGCATTATTTGATAGAGCAAATACTCAGCACACAACTATTTTTCGACATAGTCATCACCGTTAGCTATGCATCTTCACCAGCAACAAACTACAGTCTGCATGCCACACACTATCCCAGTGGAGGTCGCTCACTGTTTCATAGCTGCTATGGACACCCTTGCTTCATAAGCACTTCCATGTCAGACGCCATTCTGTCAGACTGCCCCTCTGCTGCCATCTGTCACTGTCATTTGCAGCAACAAAATGTTATATTGGCAATATTATTAGAATATTGGCAGGAAGGTTCAAATTTTACTGCCATACCACCAGCATCTGCCTCTAACATTGCAGGCCAACAGAATGAAATACGAAGCATTACTTTCTGAGCAGCCCTCGCATATGACTAACTTGATTCCAGTAACGGTTGATAATCAGCAGAGAGGCATCATCAGTGGCCTGCCGACGCTCCAGCTTCTCAATGTGTTCCCGTAGCTCATCTTCAATGGCTTGCCGCTGGTCAAGCATCTCTGCTAGTTTACGGTTCTTGGTCTGTAGGGTCCGAATGTCCAACTCCTCCTGTGCGGAAGCACAAGTCAGTGGCACGTTCCTCACAAACCAGTTTACTAGGCTCATCAAGGAAGAAAGACAATTTGGTTCCCAGATAAGAAAAACCAAGAACTTAAGAGGCAGTAAGCAAGAAAGACATACCGTTGAAGAAACGCCACCAAGCTTAATGGTCTCTACTGTGGTCCCTGAGTCTTCAACCCCTGCCTTTTTCTCTGGAGGTGCAGAAGGGCCAGGCTCTCCAGCTGTCCGTTTATTGCCAGCTCCAGACATGGTGGCTGAGACATATAGGCTCCCCCCTTCTCCAAGTTCTGCCTGATCATTAAAGAACACCATTAAAAGAAAAGCAAAGACACCAACCTAACCACAACCAATTCATTATGGTAACAAGATACACAACACAGTACACAATAAGTAACTCCAGTGGCTTCAGAAAATACTGGTCAAAAGTTAAGTCTTAAGACGCCACTGGGTTTAGCACTGTGAACAGCAACATGATAGGAAAAAAATTACCCTCCATGAGAACCACCAATCTGTGATGTTCAAATGGAAGCACTGCATCTTACCGTGCTTTGGAAAAAAAAAAAAAAAAAAATTATGCAGCTTTCATCTCTGCTTTTTTAAAACACTCCATTATAAGAAAAATTATTTGAGTTAAACTTTCACAGGGTATGCCTGAGACTTCCTGACACTGTGAATACATGGCACCTGTTCACTTCACACCAATCAAATTGCTCTTATTGTACCAACATTCAAAGTTAAAACCAAGGGAAGCAATTCCTTGAAGACAAGCCCTGAGAGATTTTACAAAATAAACTTGTATATCCTAGTGAACTGAACAGCAACTCCTAATAAAGTTTTGCAGAAGAGTTTCGTGTTTTATCAGAGATACAGACACATTAGAAGCATACTTATGACCAAATTAATGGAATTTTAAAAGCTCTGGACTACGAGTTACAGAATTGAGGCTAGAAAGGACTTCTGCTGATGACCTGTTCAGTGCTCACAAATAAATCAGATTCAGCAGGAGCAGGGCCAATGGCCTTCCTCAGCCAGGTTTCCACTATCTGCAGGGACTCCATCATCTCCCTGAGCAACCTGTTCCAGTGACTGACAAAAACCTTCACTCCCAAAACATTTTTTCTTACATTTTCTTGAATTTTCCTCACAGATTAATTTACTAAACCAATAATGTTTCCTTAGAGGGTTCCCAAAACAAACATTGCAGCTAGTGCTGAAAAACAAAATATATCTTCATTAGATCTAAGCAGCATTCTTGTCCCATATTCAAAGGTATTGTGCCAGTTTAATACTCTGATAACTACCTCTAAGCTACATGAAGTCCAGAAAGCAATGAAATGCAGAGTACACAAATAGAGCTAATACTGTCCCATTTTGATCCGGAGTGGCATTTACAGAACAACTATGGGTTACAGACTGAACCAAACTGTTGTTACATACTTCAGTTCTACTGAAAGTAATAAGGCTACTGCGTTTTTAAGACACAGGCGATAACACTGACTGCTTGGCCAAACCTTCTTTTTCAACAAGCGCTTTAGCATGGCAATGCCTTTCACCATATACAGAACACCAACTCCCTCCTAGATGAATTAAACACCACAATAATCCTCCACTCCTGTAACCTGCCTCGAAATAAGAACACTAAACAGATCTCAAGAATTGCCAGAAATAATCAAAGATAACTCTAATTTAGCTGTTTCCTCTCTCTCCGCAACACCCTCCCACAACAGCCGCCCACCCCACCGCGCACCGCTCGCTGCCCCACGGGAACCGTCCCCGTCCCCGCCGCCACTGCCGCCCGCCCCTCCTTCTCTCACGCACCTCACCGCCCGACGGAGCCTGACCTAGAACCGCTACGCTGCGGCCCGGCCACCCACCCTAAAACAACCCAAAAACCCCTGCCGCCTTCCTCAGGCCCTCCGGAAAGCAAATCCGCGCATGAGCCAATCGTCTTTAGGATGAAGCAGCTGTGCTCAGCACCTCCCCCAGAGGCGGCCGCCCCTTCCGGCGGCCATTTCGCCCTCACTTGTTATGGACGCTTCGCTGGCTGCCGCTTGCCCTCGCCTAATATGGCCGCCGTTGCCACGGTGCTGCAAACGGCGCCTGAACGCGGCGACCTTGCCGTTATGGAAAACGGCAGCCGCCGCTTAGGCAGCGCTCTTGTCCTTAAGAAAAATGGCGAGCGCGTGGTGATTTGGAGGTGCTGCTTGCCCAAATCATCCCCTATCCCCCATGGCAGTTCTGTGCTCCTGCTGGCAGTGTGCCCTTATAGCTCCTAGGAAGAAGAGCAATAAATAAGCCGAAATTGCGACCGCCAGCGGGAGCCGGAGACCGAGGAGATGCTGCTTACTGGCAGGGTGCAGCTCTTGACTTCGAGGAAGTCGGCCCTAATGGTGTGAGCACCTTTGTGGTGCCCCAAAGGTATAGTGGTTATGTGTGCTTGTGGGTTAGGATACTTCCATTGCTCAGGTTTAACTCCAGTAAAGTTTAAAGTACTGTCTTAGGTAAATTAAAAGTAAAATTTTAGGCCTAAAGTACCATCTTCATGACCACCCATCTCTGCAGAAAGAAACATGAGAAACATGAAACAGAAAACCCCTACCAGATGGCATTAGGCTGATAAGAGTCCTATCTCAGTGCTCATAGGAAGTTTGCAGCCTTCAGGAACTGATGTCTTGTTTTACCATCTCCCCAGCAGCTGGCTTTGCTTGAAGTACCAAAGATGTCAAAATCATACACAAAACTACACCGAAGAGTAATAAGCTACCAGGGAGAAGATTTCAGGCTCCACAGATTTTGCTTTATTCTTATTTTTGTTCCACTACACGTATCTTTTCTCTAGTGCTGATCCCATGGGGACTTGAAACATTCACAGCTTTATGTCATTACAGAAAAACTGTAATTGAAACACAGGTAACTACAAACTTATATTTCATTTTGTCTCTTTCTTTTACCTCTATACACCTTAGCATTTTCTTCGTAGAAAAAGAGAAAACCATTTCTCTCATCAATTACTATGTTTTAGATACACATTCTTTCCTCTGGGTAGCTCAAAACACTTGCTCACCTCCTTTAGAAGAAATGCATTATTTTCTTTTGTGATGTTTACTACCTAACTCTTTGTAAACTGTTAGGGGTAGGTAGTAGGCAGTACAGGACAGCAACTACGGATGAGAATGCAATCTGTAGGCTTTGACCATCCTTATCTAGATGCAAGTGTCCCTGTTCATTGCAGGGAAGTGGGACTAGATGACCCTTACAGGTCTTTCCAATTCAAATGGTTCTATGATTCTATAATGCAAGCTTAAGTATGTGTGCTAGGGAGAGAAGAGGGGCATTTAATACATGAGAAACTTCTGTAAAGAAACTATGAAAGCTGAGCATTTTAAGAGGAACTGTACTTCAATTTTAAGAGAATGTACTGCAGAAATGCATCAACTTTTACAGTCTGTTAGCAATGTCAGAAGTAGGATTACTTCTTGAAACAAGCAGTTCAGCAACAGTCTTTCCTTTGCAATTTTTGAAAGAAAATTGAGCACATACTTCATTCAAAACTACAGCTTCTTAAGAATTTTAATGACTAGGGCAGATATTTTCTTGGAAAGTGTGTGCACTTGCTTTTGTATGTGAAGAGGGAAGGCTAATATGAGGAAACACATCAGATATCCAGAGATTAAATGAAAAAAATAAAGCTGTCCAAGGAATAGCCTACAGACGACAATTCCAGGTGTTAACTGTGCTCTAGGACTGTGACCATAAAATAGCTCTCAGAGTGATTTATCCTCCATGTGTAAGCATGAGTTGCAGTCCTGCAACCATGGTTGTGCTGAGGGTCCCCAACCCTGTTGGCAGTTAATCTCTATTGCAATTCATGAGGACCTACAAAGTTTCAATATTGACTCTCCCTCAAGTTGCAAAAGCAGTAACATATGCCAAAATTGGTTATGAAAGTCTTACAAATTGGCTTGAAAATTCTTCTTTCTGCCAAGATACTGAGACACAATGTTATGAGCTATTCAGTCATCATCCAGATATATCTGGGCAGGCACTATACAGCTAGGTGGTGAAATGTGGAAGTGTGGCACACCCAGGTTTCTAACTATAAGATCTTTCATCCAGTAGAACTGTGCTTCTTCTGGGAGAAAAGGCCATATGAAAGATAATATGATTGCTGACCTTAATAAAGCCTGTTGAGAAACTGTCTTAGACAGTGGCTAACAGAAGGCTCTGCCCTGAAGGTTCTGCCCTGGAATCTATTGAGGGAACAGGAGAAGACAGATATATCCCAAAGATGGAGCAGGAAAGCTTCAGCCAGACAGTCCCTGATGCCATCAGCAAGTGACAGATGGAGAAGGGGACTGCAAGTTGCAAGGAAACAGGCCAGCAAATGGACTTCAGGACCTCACTAAGATGCAACTAGCTTAAGGTAATAAGCTGGAAAAAATCATCTTTGGGCAACCACTGTGAAAGTGGTTGTGAAAGCAAAGCAGAGCAGTATGCAGGCACAGTGATTAATTGACCTAAGAGAGCTAACCTGGGGCCTAAATTAAATGAGCAAAGCTCTTGCTATAAGTAATTATTTGAAGGGGAAAAAAAAAAAATCTCGTTTGTTGTCAGCACAGATAAGCATTTCATTTGCTAGGTTGTAAACAGGAAGCACTGAAGTTACTTATGCAGAGACAGTTACCACTGAAGAGCCTATATGAAACTTAACCCTTAGTGTGTCCTGTGGTTGTATGTGCTCACAGCTGCTACATTGTGTCATGTTCTCTCAGAAAGTTAATCCTACAATGTACAGCTCTAGCACTACAATACTTATGATACATCTAGGAAGGGAGATACAAACTATATTTTACTTGATTAAGGAATAAAATTCCATTGTCATCTGACTCGAACTGATTGGGCAGAAATGTAATTACACTCTGTACAGAAATCCTTACTTATTTTTGCCTTGCAGGCATTTTACTTCCCTAATTGTTTCACTCCTGCAGAGAAGCACTTGATGCTGTAAGCTGACAATACGAGTATGAATACAGGAGATCATTAGGTAGCTGTATTTTATGAAATAATGAGTTTTGTGAAACATGCCTTACATAATTCCTTCCATAAACCCACAAGAATGGCACTTTATGCATATTTCAGGCACTAACGTTGGATATGGCAACTTGTACACAATAGCAGTAATTTCTACACAGTTCAGTAAGTTGCAAATATGATTTCCTAGAGTAACCCAAATTCTGTCTGCTCACACCAGCAGTGCCTGAAGTACCAGACAACCCTGGAGCTACAGGAAGATAATTGCTAGAACCGTCCAATTAAAAGGGAAGACCATACAGAAAAGAAGTGCACATGCTTGCTCTCTTGACCCAAAACATCCTGGCAAGCAGTCTGAAGAAAGAAGAAATGGAAGGCATCAGTAAGTAAGGCAAAGTGGGCACGCAACAGGGATTAGTACCTGCTCATATAATTGTTTGCGTCAGAAGGAACCCTTAAAGGTCACCTAGTCCAACTCTCCTGCAATGAACAGGGACACATACAAGTTCATTGGGGTGCTCAAAGCCTGGTCCAGTCTGGCCTTGAATGTCTCCAGAGATGGGACATCAACCAGCTCTCTGCATACAGTTGGCTTTCTGAGCTGCAAGGGCACATTTATGGTCACATTCTCCTTACCATCCACCAATATTACATCCTTTTCACCAGGGCTGTGCTTAATCCTTTTGTTCCCCAGCTTGTACTAATAGTGGGGGTTGCCACAACCCAGGTGCAAGACCTTGCCCTTGGATTTGCTGAATCTTAGGAGGTTCTCTGCTAAGGATCCACTGCTCAGCCTGCTTAAGTCTCTGAGCATCCTGTCCTTTGGGCTTATCAGCTGCACTACACAGCTTGATGTCTCCACAAAGTTGGTGAGGGTACACAACTGCCTTGTTATCTCACTGTCTAGTTGCAGCAATGATAGAAAGAGATGAAAAGGCCCAGCAAATGGAGAAGGAGTTTGAGTGTTTTCTTTCAGTTTTTGTTGTTAATCAGCTTAACTCTGTAATTCGCAGTCTCTATATGGAGAGATCCTGTGCACATAAGATTTTGGAAACTGCTATGAACCGTTTCCTCAACTTAAACATATATGTTTACTACCCATACTAATAGATGTGCTTATATTTTTAAGAGCTGACGTTCAAAAATTTGTTGGATCTTGGGGAGTTCTACGTGCTGTCCTGTAAGATTGGGAAAATAGAATGTGTCTGCAAATACTCATTCTTATCAGCAGAGAAATTTACAGAATAAGTTCTAGAAAAAACACTCAGCTTCATGCTGAGTTCCAGTTTATATAGCAGGTATAATTTTAGACCTCAATGAGACACTCATGTCTCATTCATGGACTTTTCTATCACTCTTCAAGTAAGGCTTGTTCCTCTAGCTGGATTTCTAAGACTTGTCTAAACGTAAACATTCATGAAAATTTATGTGTATTAATTAAAAATGTGTACCAAAGGTGAACCATTTAGTCTTTGTTACATCCTGCAGAGATGCTATCATTTAGAGGGAAAAAAAAAGCTTAAATTTTATTTCTTTTACTTCCCAAAAGCCATTCAGCTAAAGTGAACTAAAACCACTTCCACTTCAAATGATGGTCTCTTTTAGAGATTTGATGCAGTGTAAAAATAGCCATCATTTGATACAATTTTCCTGATGGTCTTTGTATGGTTAAAACCTCATTCCAGTGTTACCCAGATTTTCCATCTACACATCAGCTTATCTCACCCCAGCAGCAGAACTCTAGTTCCAGAAGTGCAGACCTGGAAATTTGCCACTGAATAGAACAACAACAATGATCTACGCTCCACGCTTCTCACATAGGCATAGAATTTGTTGTGTGCCCAGCAACCATGCAAAATAACTTTGACTCCCTTTTGCAAGGAGAAATTAAAGTCTTTCCAGCAGTCCAAGGGAATAGTTCTTGTTTAGAAATCATCTGTTTGGAAACCTTGTGTCTTGTCAATTTACCCCATTCTGGTTTTTAGCATTGCAAAATATTCACTGTTTCAGACTCTTCTCCTATCTTACAAAACACAGCAATTAACTGAAAGCCCTTGTATACTAACAGCAGTTGGAGAGCCACGTGATTCTATTTCTTAATTGACAACTTTGTGCCTTTGTGGACTGCAGGACTTGGAATGTTGGAGCTTGGCAGCCAAGTTATTGAGCCATAGAGCATTACAATTAAGCTGGTAAGATACATCCATTTCTCTAAGTGCGATCATGCTTGTAGTCCTGAAATCTTGCCATCATTTAACAACTTGTGGTGTTTCCTCCCATCGGTATTTTGCTGTAAACAGCCCCAATTGATGATTTGATCAGAGAAGCAAAGAAAGCACAGAAAAGCTGTGTGTGTTTTGAGATGCAGTAGTCTCTGGAAAGAACTGGGATTGCAGTTAGCAATAATTGTGTTTCTGTCATCTTCAGATGTAGAGTGTAGGTAGAAGAAACAGTAAATAACAGTAAAAAAAAGTAAATAACAATGTATATGCAAGATGAAATAGTTACAGAAATGAACCTGAGAGGTCTGAAATGCAGTTATGTATAGCAGACATTCCTCAGGCTCAGGAAGTGTATGAAGAATACTTAGTCCTTAATAGATAACTGGACATACAGGCTGTAGTGAAAAGAATCATAGAATCATTTGAGTCGGAAGGGGCCCTTAGAAGCCATCTAGTCCAACTTCCCCGCAATGAGTAGAGACAGCTACAGCTCCATCAGGTGCTCAGAGCCCTGTCTAGCCTGGCCTTGAGTATCTCCAGGGATGCAGCATCCACCACCTTTCTGGACAACATGTGCCAGAGCCTCATCACACTTATTTTAAAAGCTTTACCCTTACATTCAAAAGATCAAAAGATTCCAGGCTTTTCAGAGAATGTTCATGTACCCTAGATAGCTAAGGCAGCTAATTTGTCTGCTTTGGAGCTGCATTTAATCTCACCACTATTGTCTAAAGTCAAACACAAAAGCTCTCACCTATAAGCTCACAGTTTCTGGTATACAACAGTGGACTATGAATAGTTTCTATTTCCCCAGTGATCAACACTAACTCTAAAAGAAAACCAGAGGAAGCCAGTGTACTATTCATATTATATATGTATATATATATAGTATATAAGTGTATTATTCACTTTTCATCAGTATTCATCGAATTTCTATCAAAAACTGCCACCAGAAATGCCTGCTGCTTCTTACAAAGCAGACTATGAGCAGGAACTATTACTTGATTTACTTTGTGGATTTTTTTTAAGTAGAAAGAGAATAAAAACATTTAAAGATTTAGCTGTTTAATTGAATAACAGATAAGATACCTATTCAGAAGGTACAGGAATAACCAGGTAATTATTGTCATCTGTTAGCTAAATGCAAATGTGTAATGTAGTCACTGCACCACAGAACTTCACACCTTGTGCAGCCAACCAGGTTATATACATACTGATACAACATGTTATGTTAAACATGCTGTTCAATCCTCTGGCTGGAATGTACTGTCTTTGGATTTTATCCCGAGGACATTAGGGTTACACAATCTTTCTTCCTTTCTTTCTGTTTTCTGCCTGCCTTTTCCTGGCTTTTCACAGCTACCTGTGTGACCCTGATACATTTTGAATGTTTGTTAAGTTTCATTGCAGTTGGCTGAAGGAGGTCAGTTTCACATGTAAGTATGCTGCTGCTTTAGACTTCATGCTGTCCTGTGCAGAGCAGAGACCTACAGCCCAGGAGTGGGGCCACAAGGAAGATGAGACAAGTACTACAGGTGTTTTTGAAAGAGATGCCCAGATACAAATGACACAGATCCATCAGAGAACAGGGTTCTCAATTCAGCTGCCTCTAAGACCAGGAATTTCTGCTCTGCTGTGTGCTGCGAGTGGTGAGCACACTGTGCAAGCATCTGGACATCACCCTGTTAGCTTATCCAGCTAACAAGCATGTTTCATAAAAAGCAGGAGCTTTACCTCATCTCAAGCAAACTACAAAAACTAGTAACTCCTTCCACTTGCACAAAGTGTTCAGTGCTGTGAGTGGCCAGTTGCATGGCACAGAAAAGATTATTTTAACAGAAAATTCTCTTACCTCCGTGGCTGCTTGGAACTTTCCCTGCTTGGACCCAACTCTCACCACATGTTTTCTTCTTCTTCTTCTTCTTCTTTTTTTTCTCCTGATTATAACTTCAAAGGATTGTCCTGCCATTATGAATAAAGATGAATAACTTCAGAAGGGCATCTCAGGTTGCATATAAATTACTGCATGCACTGTCATGTTCCCAAATGTTCATTTCTGCTCTCCAAGCCCTGCCTGCGCTGTGAGGCTGACATAATCACTTGGTGGGGTGGGCCGAAAGTGATCCGGATAAGAAATAATCCATCATAAGAAAAGGTTTATTTTTCAGCCAGATCAGCCTCTTGCATGCCAGCACACGGCAGGGAACAGAGCACTGTGATGGCAACAAGCAGTCAGGGATGGCAGATGTGCTGCTGCCCCAAATTACCTGTGACTTTTCTCCCTTCATCTTTAAAGTCTGATAGGAGTTGTTTCATAGGAGTAAGTGTTGAAAAGTCAAGCGCTCAATGAGAAGCAATCAGCTGAGTCAACTAGTAGCAGAGAGGACTATAAAGGCTTTATACAAAAATACAATTACCCAAACATCCATCCCACAGAGAAGACCTTGTGTCCCATTCTTGTTAACTTACTGCTACCAAATTGTTCTGCCATCTGAAACCCCATCTGAATTAACACTGGGTGCACTGCAATGTGTGTTTTGACTGTTGTCACTCAACAGCTCTCTCACACACATACTGTCACAGGAGGGAGAAAAAATATTTTGTGTTTCTCACAAATTTTGCAATTCTAATCCAGGGGAGAGCACACTAACAGACCTCTTATGAACATATAATCTCTTTTTCACCCCATTTCCTCTGTTCTGAGCCAGGATCTATCATGTTTCAAGTGCATCAGTATCGGGAGGCCTGAGAACATGTAAGAGGAAGGTGGAGTATGAATCGCTGTCGTTCAGAACTGGGAGAAAAAGTGAGAGGTGGTGGAAAATAAAGGATTCTGGGAAACAAATCACTTGAAAAACAAGCAAACAAACAAACAAACTATGCTTTCTTCTGTGAGCATCGCCGTACCTCTGGCTTTTTGCCCCTTCATTCACATTGTCTCCACAATAAAAAACCTTGGCTGAGCAATGGCTCTTGCCCAAAGTTAGCCCAAAGGCTAACTTTATTCATAATGTTTACCAGAGAACCAATGTAAGTTGTGAAGTTAAAATTATAACAAAACATAGAGCTATAGAATTATTAAGGTTGGAAAAGACCCTTAGGAGCATCTATTCTAACCATTAGCTGACCCTCACCATGTGTCCCTCAGTGCCATACCTCTATGGTTCTTGAACAACCCCTGGGACTCTCCCTGCTGACTCCACCACCTCCCTGGGCAGCCTGGGTGCCTGACTACTCTTCCAAAGAAGAAATTTTTCCTAACATTCAAACTGACTCTCCACTGGTGCAACTTGAGGCACTGCTACCCAGGAGCAGAGGTCAACCACCTCCACACCACAACCTCCTTCTAAGGACTTGTAGACAGCAATAAAGTCTCCCTGGAGCCTCCCCCAGACCACACGACCCTAGTTCCCTCAGCCGCTCCCCATCACAGCCCCAGGTCCTTCACAGCTTCACTGCCCTCTGAATGCACTCCAGAGTTTCCACGACTTTCATGGGCCCAAAACACAGTGCTCGAGGTGTGACCTCACCAGCACCACACGTGCTGGAGCTTTCTGCCCATAGGATTGAGCTTCGGCAAAGTTCTGCTTGTGCCTAACAGAATATAGTGTCGTGCTGATAGCGCAATTTTTTTTTTTTCTTTTTTCATTTCGTGTTTGTTCAAGCAGTAAAGAGAGGCCACAGCCTGCAATCATTCAGCCTAAATACATGCGCCTTTTTTTTTTTTTTTTTTTTCCGTGCAGTTGTAGGCACAAAGTGATGGAGTCTGTGAGTCTGTGCAAAAGGCAACTTTGTCAATGGCACACCTCAGCTAGCCGCGGTTGGGAGTAATCGGCAGAACGAAGGCTTAAGGCGGCACCGCGGAAAGGTGCGTGGGCAGCAGGGGAGCTCAGGGGGCACAGCGGACCGGCGCGGGGCGATGCACTCCTGCGCTGCGCTGGGCCGGCCGCTGCCCCCACGCACTGCGGCCCCGCCGGGCTGTGCGGGGCGGACCCTGCGCAGGGCGGGCACCGCGGCTTCGACAGCGGAGAGAGGAACGCGCGGCGCGGCGCGGCCCGTCAGGGGCACCCGGGTAGCGCCCAGAGCCTGGCGAAGGACTGCGCAGCTTCGGCACTGAGCGGGGTAACGCTTCGCCACTCCTCGGGCACCGCTGGGGGATCTCCATCCGCCCTCCGCCTCCCCTCTCGCTCCTTTCACTCTTTCGGCTCCCGCCCGCTCCTTACACTCTTTCGGATCGTTTAATCCCACCCTCACGGCCCGGGAGGGAGGGAGCGGAGAGGGAGGGGAAACAAAAGAGGGATCTGGGGGAGCGAAGGGAGCAGCGAGAGGAGCGGGGCCGGAGGGGAGGGGCAGCGCTGCCCGGGGGAGCGCACGGCAGGGGGGACGGGGCGCGGCCGGGCCTTGGGATGGTGCTTCTCCTGGGGAATGAGAATGGGAACGGGGGAAAACGGGAACCTGAAAAAAAGAGGCAGCTTCCTTCCTTTCTTCCTGCGATCGGTGCCGCCCTCAGCCTGAGAGCGGGCGGGTCTCGGCGCAGGGAGAGGTCCTGTCCGGCCCGCCCCGAGGGGGGTGCGCCACTACTCCGGGGCGCTCCCGAGGGGCGGGGGGGAACCTCAGCAGTGCAGGGGCTGAAGTCACCGGCATGAGTCTGGGGAGGAAGCTGCAGCCCGGCTGGTGGTGCTGCACAACGTAACGTGGTACCCGCGTGAGGGAAGGTTCGTAGGCTTCTTGCATTCACGCTGCTGCTGAGAAAACCTCCTTGTATGCAGTGATGGGCTGCCATGAGGACGCAGCAGGTGAAGCAGGCGTGGGCAAGGGCATAAAGACTAGGAAAGCTGTACGTGTGAAATCTGCTGCTTTCGATACTACCCATATACCAGGCTGTTTCTCAGCTACTGCATTTATCCCATTTTTTTCCCCAGTGTCATCCAGAACCAGAACTCACACTCACTGCTCCTTACAGATGTGGGAGAGAAGGAGGAAACCTCCAAATCCCTCATGGTACAGAAAGGAAGCCGTGTCATTGACCCTAACAGGTAGCGCCCCAAGAGAAGTGCTGCTTATCAGTACAGCCAAACAATTCTGCTGGTCAGAATCAGAATGTTGCAGCTGCCACCTGGTACAGTTCTGCGGTTTTATTGTTACATAGACACGCAACAGGATTCCAACATTCCTAACAGGGAACGTGCAGCCTTAACAGCCAAGGCCTTTGCTCACAAAAGCTATGTCCTATTTCCCTATTGCTGTGTTCCACTGTCTGCATTCTTAGTGAACAACAGCAAAGCTGTTCACTCTCTAAGCTGAACAGCCCATACGATACCCATTCCCTTTACCCTGCTGCATCCCTTGCCCTATAGATCGTGGGTTCTCAGGGCGCTGATCAAAGTGTGCCACATTTAGCAGCTGTTTTTTCAGTATCTACCTCGGATTACTTACCTGTGTGAGTTACCAGTACGATTAAACCATAACATGCCATCATGACATCCAAACCAGACAGATCTGTTACATATCTGGGAAAAATGGCCTCCCTCCTACCTTTTATATTCATAGGCTGAGGATCCATTACAGTGGAAGTTGTCTCTTGCTGTGTTTGTTTCAATATCTTGCAGTCAGCTCTTATTTTAGGAGAGCATTGTGACACAAAGCTGTAAAACATAAATGATCTGCAGCACCTCCAGTGAGGCAGAGTATTTGGCTTTGAGCTTTTGAGAGCAGACAGCAAAAGGCAATAGCTGATGTCATTATTAGCAGCACCTTTGTTTAATGCCACTTCTTTTTACCAAATAGGGATGCAAACTTGATAATAAAGCAGAAGTGAACGCAAATTAAAATCTGCTCCTCAGATTTTGGAGAGCTTCAGGCAGATCGCTGTGAATATATGCACCCATTTCTATACAGAACATTATCTAATTCTGTTACATTTGTGTGTGTGTGTTTACCTGAGCCATAGAAGAAAAAAAATTTAAAAAGTAGATTAAGAAAGGTACAGATTGCATAAACAATTCTAAAATCACATCAACCTTCACTGTCATCTTCTAAAAGATGGCTTTTCGCAAAGCTGCTTGTTTTGAATCTCTGTGTAGAGCTATTATTTCATAGAACTCTCTTCTCCAAGCTGCTTTTCACTCCCACTTGATCTTAACACTGACAGTACTGCTTGATAGCAGTGGAGGAAAACATCACTTTCCCGTGGCTTCGCACATGTGGGGAGCAGTCAGCTGAAAGCCAGCAGGGGCTGAGAATGTTACCCTTTGTCTCTGTGTGGAAAAGGAAGATAGAAGGAAGAGAGAAGACGAAGAAATAACTGCAGTTGAAATACATTCAGTTTACAGCCTGTTTTAATAGTGGCATCTTTTTACTTTATTAATTCAAGGAGAGTGGAGAAAGTGTCTTCCAGCTGCCACATCCACATATCTTGCTTGGTAGTTCAGTAGCTTCCAAACTGTGGTCTCTGGATTTCCAGGGATTCGTGAATGATTTGTTAACTGTAGTTTGAGGAGGAGAACAGGCCTACCTATCAGAATGCATTCAAGATGGAATTCTACAGTTTCTGGGGTTTCCTAACAGGTTTATGAACCACTGCTTTCTGAACAGGCTGTACAGGAAGGTGGTGGAGTCACCATCCCTTGAGGTTTGAGAACCATGGCGATGTGGCATCTGGGGACATGGGTTAGTGGGAATGGTTGGACTTGGTGATCTTAGAGGTCTTTTCCAATTTTAATGATTCTATGACTGTATGATTCTGTATATCTGTGTATTGTCATTCTTTTAGAAATGCTTAAATTCCAACTCCTTTGTCAGGAAAAGTTGAGGAATGGCAGGTGAAAACAGCCTGCTGCTCCTTTGATTTCTGCCTCTTACCGCATGTAACTGCCACAGGGCACCATGTCCAAATCTTCTTCACTTCCCCAGCCACCTCTCTTACAGTTCCAGCTATCACCAACCTGTTACACCATAGCAATATTATGCCTTTAGTACATAGATCATCAAACCTGAAAGAACTGAGAAATCATGTGCATCAGTGATAACCACGGTCCTTGCCATAGCCCTGAGCTTTTTCAGTGAAACTGTAACAAAACAACCTGGCTTATTTGACATCCATGGTGTCACAGGAAACAAGGGCCAACAGGTCCTTTAATGACTACCATAGCAAAAGGCTGCTTCATTATGAATTTGACTGTGTGCTCTAGTTGCCATGAGTGATTCTGGCCAACTATTGGCACCAGCTGGTTCTGGGTTTGCCTAGAAACAAAATAATGGCAGCTGCCATAAGCAGTGCTTGAAACAGAAGATGTGGGAGATGTATTTGCACATGCTAATTAAGTATAGTCTAAGAATAACCGCTGAGCTCTTCATTAATATTCTTCATTAATATTCGCATTAATATTCTACTGAATGTTTTTAGAATGTCAGAATGATTTTTCTTTCTGAGGGAGCCTAACTCCTACGGTTATATGTAAATGTAATGGTTAGATGTGCAAGCACTTGCCTTCTACATGATGCTGCTGTTTTCATTGTAAGCCCGAACACATTGTGGAAACATTATCTGGCATCTCACTTGCTCAAAATTGTCAGAAAACAGGAAAGGAATTGTTGTACCATGAATTGTAGATGAGAAAAGCTGGCCATCTGGTCCAACTGTACTCATCACGGTGGAAACCTCACTGTACAGAACAGTGAGCTGGCAACATGCATGTATGAAACAGAAGGATATTTCTGTGTCTCCTAACAACTTTGTGATGCTTGAATTAGTTTCCCTCAGGCTCCAGCAGGACTGGTGCACTACCACCACCACTTTCGGAGCAAAACTCTTGTCTCCTCCAGAGGAAGTCAGTCTGGACAGAGACCTGGTCCTGAGGCTGCAGCTTGGCTGTACAAAGCCAAGTTGGAGGGCAGTGGTGCTTTTCTGCTCCAGGTTTAAACTTGTAATGCTACTGCAGGAAGAACAAAAAGTCAAACTTACAGTTTGGTATGAACACATTTGCTGACACCACTGATGCTCTTTGCTGTCACAGCATGCCTTCTCAGGACTTTCTCCAAGAGCCCATCTCTGTTTCACACAGTGAAGACCCTATGGCCTCTGTGCCTCCTTATGGATGAGGCAGTGGAAGATGGAGATGCCTCTCTTGAGTCAGCAGTCCAGGAGCCTCCTAGAATCTCACAGCGATGACACGTGAGAGGCTTTGCTCCAGGAATACTTGCCCTCAAAACACCTCTCTGCAGAGGAATTGGGAGCAGACAGAAAATCAGCTTTAAAGCTCTAGCACAGGTGACAGTATTCTGCATCCCAGAGAGGAAGTTATGTATTTTTCTGCTCTTCCTCAGTGTATGCAGAGGTAACTTTATCCTAATCAGTGCAACTCAGCCAGGTAATTAGAAGCTCATGAAGACAGAGGTGTGGATTTGGATGTGGTCCAGGTGTTCCCAGAGGGAATCTGCACCAAGATCTAAGTAAAGAAAAAAGACAAAGCTTTGTATTGTACCCACACGGCTTCCAAGCATGTCTAAACAATTGCTCAGTTCTATGTAGAGCTTTTGTAGAAATGGTCTCCACTGCTAGTTATTAGGTGGCTGCAAAGTAGTTATTATCCATGATTCATGCAGTTGCCTTTTAAAATACTATAAAATTCAACTCTGATTCATTCTTTTCACCTTTAACTTCAGAGTCAGAAATGGTGATTAAATACTTAGGAGAGAACAGAATCTCCAAAATGGGGGAAAAACAGATGCTACATTACCAACAGCTTCTGAAAACAGAATAGCTTCAGCAGGGCCAGAAGTATCCTGATGGCTTGAAAACAGCCTAGTGAGAAGCTCTGCTCTCAAGTTCTGCTTGTAAGAACAAATTTTATCTCTGTAAAAGCAAGAGCTCTTGGTTCACAGTGCTAACAGACATACAGTGGAGAGGTGGCAAATGTCCCCCATCTTTCCCAGAATTCTCATAATGGTTTTGGCTGGAAAAGACCCCTAAGATCACCAAGTGCAACCATCAGTGCACCCCCACCATGCCCACTGACCTGTGTCCCTCAGAGCCACATGCATGCATTTCTAGAATACCTCCAGAGACAGTGACTATGGAACCTCCCCTAATACAGCCGTTGCTAGGCTCTGTGGTTCTTCTGCTACTCAGAAAAAGCAGCCTTTTTCTCTGGCAGTGAGCTAGCATTCAGCACGGCAGCCAGGCTAAGCCAGAAACGCTGGCCAATGTGCAGTGTGCCCAATTTTGAGCTCCCAAATTGCCGGGGACAGCACGGTGCTGTGAGCGCGGAGCCCCGCAGGGGGGGAGCAGCGGCGGACGGCCGCAGCCGGGACCCGGCTGATACTGCCCGGGCTGCGGGAGTCGGGAGGCTGTGATTCCTGCAGTGAGGCTGTGATTCCTGCAGTGAGGCTGTGATTCCTGCAGAGAGGCTGTGATTCCTGCAGTGAGGCTGTGATTCCTGCAGAGAGGCTGTGATTCCTGCAGAGAGGCTGTGATTCCTGCAGAGAGGCTGTGATTCCTGCAGTGAGGCTGTGCCCCAGCGTTGGCCTTTCCAGTGCTGTACCAAAGACGTGGTTTCCACTTCTCACCAGTCAGCACTTTGGTGAGGGTTATTAATACTTGAATGCATAACCTGGGACTTGCAGAGCTTGCTGTGGCCTCAGTGTGCTTGCAGCTCAGAACTCCATCATAGCCAGCTGCAGATGAAAATCAGTTTCTTACTACCTGGGGACTAACCTACCTTCTAGCTCTTCCTCATCTTCTTGTATTTTCCCATTGTTATCCTCACTTTCACACCAGGAGAGTGATTCAATCACAGCACCAACAGTGCAGCTCACATCATAAGAAGGCTCATAAGTATACCATTGTGAGTTGGGAGTTGTAGAATGATTGCACATTTGTGTGTTCCCATTTGTGTGTTTGTGACTGGTTCACAGAAAATGAGAAGAGGGAAAGCTCTGGGTTTTGAACGAATGAGTGCGTTCAGATGTGAGATCTTTACATCTGATGAATTTAAGGTCTTTGTAGTGTGAATCTCAGTGGCTTCAACCTGGTAGTTGAAATGCAGCCATCACCTTCAAAGCCTTTACAAGGTCACTGATGCAATAGCGTCTGTGAAACAAGGTTGTGCAATAAGGAAAAAAATAATAAAAGAAAGCTATGGGAACACAGTGCAGATTCTCATGCATCAATGTGCCAATTTGTTATCTCTATTTACACAAAATCTTTGAAATCTTGTATTTTTATGAGTCATTAGAGTAACACAACACTGGTGTCACAGGTCTATCCAAGACTGTTTGAGCTGTCACAGCATGAAGGATGTGTTCTCCAAGAAAGATTTGGAGCAACTCTCATATATTTTCCATTAATCATAGTAAAAGACCCTTCATACAAGATCATCATATTGCCATAGGGAAATAGGAAGCAGTTCTCATAATAGTAAATGTAGTAAATCTGTGATAGAGTAGTGAAGGCAGTTCTGAAATAGTCCCAGATTTAGACCCTGCTCACTGTTTTCTCTGAGTCATTTCTCGTAAGTGGCTCTTCTGATACACAGAATGAAACACTGTGGCACTGGTTGCTTCCCATCCATACAACATTCCTTAGGATGCTTCAAGCAACAGTGCAGAGAAGGAAAAAGGGCCAGGAACAACATTCTCTGGTTAGAACTTAGTGAAGACAGGAGGTTAAAAATGGGAGAAATTCTCCACTGATTTGGTCAGATGGAGGACATGAATAGCTCAGTTCAGAAGGAAAGGGAATAGCAAGTAGAAAGGAAAGTCAAACAGTAGGTTATAAAGGGAAATTGCTGCCATGAAAGAATTTACATAAACAGCCAACATGCCCTAGTTTGGCAAAGCTACCAACAAGAATTAGGTGTCCATAGCAGCTCAGGGAAGCAGAACAGGAAAGCTGGATACGGCAAAATCTCATTTCTGTGAAGGTGAGTGCTGGCTTAGAGCATGTGTATACGTGTATATAAATATATAGAAATGTCTGAGATTAAAATTAAAGGCATAACCTCTTACATTATAAATATGAGCAAATGGCTCAATTGTATCTTGCTGATTCCACCACTGCTGTGTATTTCACAGGGTCTGGAGAGAGAGATCTGATAGGGAGACACATTACACCTAGTGTACACATGCCTCTAGTGAAGTGAAGTGGTGTTTTTGCTATCTTGCTTCACACTCTCTGGAGTAAAGTATAAACACATGCAGGCTTTTGGAAGTGTGTAAGCAACAGAAGGGAAGCATGTGTCACTCCACATAGGTAGAAGTTTGTCTTTCAAATATGTGCTAGGCAACAATACCAGAGATCTGGCTTTGGTTCTTGGCCACAACCCAAATATTATGTCACTGTGGCCAAATAGCTGCATCTCTGCTACTAACAGAAATTCCTGTGTTTTTAACAGAAAAAAAGATTTATTTCTCCACACTTCCGCATTCATGTTGCTTGTTTGTTTTGTATTTCAAGTACAGTAACAAACACAGTAAAATCTTATCTCAGCTAACTCAGATCAGAACTTCTATGTGCTGAAAAGGCATTAACAGCATTCAGCTCATCTTCCTTCATGGTCCTGTGACAGTGATGTCCCCATTGCAGTGGACCACTCAGCAGCCTTCTCTTTTGGCTTACTTGGTGCCTACTTTCAGCTTCCATTTCCTCAAATCATGGTCTTCCCATTCCAATAGTTCCTGTTTCACTAACAATCATTCTTCTTCCTCTCCAGGTGTGGACAAACTTTGGCAGCCACCAACACAATGGTATCTTGAGACCCAGAGAAGATGCAGTGGAAGTGAAGGAGGGAGGGCACTGGGTGCCCTGAGGTAGGAGTGCCCTCTTGCAGCAGCTATGTTACACTATGCCTGGCAGCAATACGGGAGGTGGTGCCGCTGGTCCAGTCCTTTCATCCACCTTCTCACTCTGACTGTGTTGACATTTGGTGTGCTGGCTCCTTTGATTTGCCACCGACTCCTCTACTCTTATTTTTATTTGCGGCGCTGGCACCTGAATCCCATGAGCCAGGAGTTCTTGAGTCAGAACCAGCAGGAGGGTCAGGCTGCCCTCCATTATTTTGAGAAGCTGCAGATACCAAATATCTCCAAGGCCTCCAACAGTGAAACCTTTCGGCCCCTGCTACTGGTCACTATTATCACTGTGCAGAGGCGGGATGATTTCCACTATGTCTTGCAGGTGGCATCCCGTTTCCACCACCTGCTCCAGCAATGTGGGACAAATTGCCAGAGCCACCGTGTCCTCATCTGTAACGTGGAGCCTGACCCCAGTCGTCATCAAGATGTCAAGTTGCTGAGCAGCTTCTTTCCTATGGTCAGTCGTGACAAAGCTAGGGAGGACCCTGACCCGAGAGTGAACCACTTTGAGAAGGAGAAGCAGGACTATGTCTTCTGCCTTGAGCAGTCACTCTTGGCATATAACCCAGAATATGTCCTGGTAGTGGAAGATGATGCTGTGCCAGAGGAAGAGATATTCCCTGTCTTGCAGCACCTCTTCTTAGCCCGATTCTCCAAACCATACCTCAGAGATGCGCTCTACTTCAAACTTTACCATCCTGAGAGGCTTCAGCAGTATGTCAATCCTGAGCCCATGCGAATCCTCGAGTGGCTGGGTTTGGGAATGTTTCTGGGGCCTGTGCTGAACTGTGTGTACTCCTGGGCAGCTGGGCGCCCGAGCCTGAATTGGCCCATCATCTTGTTCTTTGCTGCCTACAGCATGGCACTGTCAGAGCTGGTGGGACGGCATTACTTGCTGGAGCTGCGCCGGCTGGCCCCTGTGCTGTATAATGTTGTGCCAGTCACAGAGTGCTGCACACCTGCCATGCTGTTCTCTGCTTCTTCTGCCCATCGTGCCTTAGGTTATTTGAAGGGACTGCAGTGTCGCCAGGGTTTTGCTAAAGACATTGCCCTCTACTCACTGCTGCGCACGAAGGGGGAGAATGCCTACGTGGTGGAACCCAACCTGGTCCGGCATGTGGGGATGTATTCCAGCCTTCGGCTACACGAGAACCCGAAACTGCTGTGATGTCTTCATGCCTTTCTAGACACAAAGCCCTGAAAACCTGGTCACTGAGCTGAGACACCGCAATCTCAAATGCTGAACACCCCGTCACTTGCACCAAACATCCACTGCCTCCAAGTGGACAGAGAACAACTCTTGAAAAACAAGTTTCTCAAGAAATGAAGCTTATGTACATGCAGACCCTAGTATATATTTTGAATTAATCACTATACAGCATGTATGGCTTGGACTAGATGATCTTAGTGGTCTTTCCAACTTTAATGATTGTATCATGCTATATGAGGGGGAAGTGGAGGCTTTCAGATTAGGGTGTGGGTCATCTACTCTCCTTCACCATGATCAAGGAAAAGGTCTCACACCATTATGAACAGCTGTACTGCCTACTCTCCTTTGCATTCATTACAGAATTCTCTGCCTAGGGAACAAGCAATGCTGGACAAAGTGAATGCGTCTAATTTAAGCTAGTGAGGAAAAATGGCTCTTCTTTGCCCATCCTCACTAAGGTCTGATGTCTGATCTTTCTATTTCAAAGTTGTGGTTCTGAGCATATCTTTCAAAAGCAGCATAGATATAATGAGAACTTTCCTGAAAAATCATGTAGGTTCTGCAAATTTTACTAAGAATTTCAGTATTTCTTACTCTCTCTCCTTCCAGTCTGTACCTATACCCTTTCCTATCCTTTTCTGTAGAGCAGAGGTCATTGGAAACTTGTCTCTGCTGCTTTATTAAAGGTCAGCTCAGAAGGTAGGAAAAGGAAAGCAGAATAACAGCCACTGGTGCTACACAGCCACATCACAAATGCACAATTTCATAGATACATTTCCAGAAATTATAAACAGTACATAATTACTACCATGTTGGTTGGTATCACCACTAGTTGTAGAGGATCTAGGTTGTTAAGAGCCTTTATCAGTTGCTGATTGGACTTAGACATTCAACAGGAATTTACCTTGACTTCCTATCAGCACAGAAGCAAAGGGAAGATTACATCAGGTACTGCCACAGTGTGGGATCCTTATTTCATTTTGGAACTGTAATTTACAGCTCTGTCAAAGTGGTCCACTCACTGCTCCTGGCAGCAAGCAAAGTAGCTGTAAGAAACGAAGCTAGCTGTTCATATGAAGAAGCAACACATCAAAGTGCCACTCCTCTGTTGATCCATTAACTTAACCTGTTCTGTTTGTCAGGCATTTGGGATAGGTACTTTGTACTTTAGCTGTGAGCACAGTTAAATATAAAACCATGGGGATAACAGAGATACCATATAATATCAAGACAGTCACCAAAACGTAACTGAAAAAAAGCTCTCTTGGACTTCAGTGGGCTTTGAATCAAGTTCACTTTTATGTGGTGTTTGGTTAAGCAATACTTGAAACCAGTTTCCTAACTTCAGAATTAACCAAGCACAGCATTTTCATTGAGTTTTGGTTGGGGAGGGTTGTTTATTCCTTTATTCTTGCCAAAGGGAGAACTCTACTTTGAATTTTTCTTTTTTCAGTCTCTACCAGGTTATTTAAGCCTTCAGCTTTTAACAAGTTTGGTTGTAGGTGGAAAAGGTATAAAAATCCTGAGAGGTGAATCATTCGCAGACCTCCAGCTGTGTTGTGTCCATAGTGGGTACTGAATACACGGTACATGTGCTTAACATAGGTTAGCCAATTAGAAATGGCTTCACAGCTTGGGGCAGTGCAGGCTCAGACAGATGAACTTTGCTCGCTTAGTAGATCAGCTAGGACACTTTGATATCTTCTTTGGAAATCAGATGTGAATAATGCTTGCTTGTGGATTTCATGTCATTCCAAAGGCCAAACACTTCTTCTGCTAGAAGACACAGAAAAGATTGCACAGGCAGAACTCTTAAGTTCATTCTTAGCTGCTGAAAACCCCAAAGATATCAAAATGGCCACACAGAACCACCAGTGGCAGGTGGGCAAGCCTATTCTTGGGCTTTTTGATAACAAGGTAAGATGGCAGGATGTGAGTGTCACTTTCTATTTATTCCACTAAGTGCCTGCACCTGCAAGTACAACATGTTTGTTTATGCTTCTTCAGCTATGAATGTTTCAGTGTGGTATGCTTTCTCTTCACTCTTTTTTTTCAGCTTTGTACTGTACAAATCCAGAACAACATCCTGTTATTTTCATGGGGCTCCTCTCACTCTTGCAAAGAAAATCTCACTGTAAAGTACAATGTGGATATTAGGACATTTTTTTTTCTCCAAAAGAGTGATTAGGTGCTGGAACAGGCAGCCAAGATTGTTGGTCAAGTCACTGTCCCTGGAGGTGTTCAAGAAACATTTAGATGTTGTACTGAGGACGTGGTTTAGTGGGAAATATTGGTGATAGATTGATAAACATTGGTGATAGATTGATAAATCTTGGAGGTCTTCCAACCTTCATGATTCTATGGTTCTATAATTCTATAATAAGTGGGATAGAGAAAGAAAAAATGAAAGAAGGAAAAGGAATTAAGAAACTTTAGATAAGAATGCAACCAATGGAATCAATAAATATTTTGATGTGGGAAACTATGTATCAGTTTGTCTCCATGTTATTTTCTTTTTATTTTGCCCTGCATTATTCAATCTGTTGTTCTAGTAGACAGTAATTTGACTAAGCTTCGTACTTGAAAACTGAGAACATGAACTTCAGGCATCCCTCTAAAACTAGAAAGCCATTTACAGAGCAACAGCCAAGAGAGTTTGGCTGGGAGAAAACAGCAAACAGCATTTGGAGGGGCAACAACTTCAACCTGCCAGTGAAAGAGTTGCTGATAAGCCACTTAAGTGCCCTATTCACCTTTACAATGGAGGTGGTTCTTTCACTGAGCCAGCTGGGAGCTATTCCCGAGTTATTCGGGTACCTAGTGCCCATCACAATGTTGTGACATCACAGACAAGCATATATTCTGTGTTTTGGAACTCTGAAAATTACTTTTTTTTTTTTTTTTTTTTTTTTTAATTTGTGCTACATGTTGTAAAAGAAATGACAATTTGGAGAACCATACTTCATATTTGGAGGAAAAACAAAACAACAACAACAACAAAACAAACACAAAAAGGAGGTTACAGTTAATTCCAAATTTCTGCAGGATTTTATTCCATAGTTTGGGCTACAAGTGCATTTTCAAACACCGAAGTCTTTTACTTCTCTTCTGCATAAGGAGAGCGCAGCTGAGTTGTCATATTTTAGGCTATGTAAGAACAAGCATCATCTCCTTGAAACACAGCCTTGAGGTTGTTCTGACTCACATTCAAAAAATCAGACCAACCATTTTTGAGGTAATATGTTTTTTTTTTAGATATTGGTTCATTCTCAGTAGTACAGGGCTATTTTTCAATGCAGCAATTATTGCTTGCACTGGAGGATTCCTGCTTCATGGGACAGACAGCAGGACTCAAAATTCAGGGAAAGTTATTAAATTAAACAAAAAACTACCTCTGCTTCCAAAGCATATCCAACATAAGTAGATAAGCATGATTCCTGCAAAAAACAAAGCATAAATTGATAGGACTCTATTAGAATAGAAGCCCAAGAGGTTTTTTAACCAGGACAGGTATCACTATCTTAATGAGAAAGTATTGCATTTGAAGAGAGAAGACAAAAGACTTTCTCAGTCGTGATGAGCTGCAACTGGCCAGACTGGTTATTTCAACAGCAATTTGTCTGGACACGGGGTGCTTCTGTTTAAAATATAGGATTTTTCTTTTTTTTTCTTTTTTTTTTCTTTTCTTTTTTTTTTTTTTTTTTTTTTTTTTTTTTTTTTCCTGGAGATATTTACAAGCAAGCTTTCTTAAAAATAAATAAATAAAAAAACAGCATTTGTATCAAAACTGTTATCTCTTTTGTCTTTATGTCATTATTAGTGGTTAGTTTTCCTGACTGGCAGATCCATCTCCTTCATTACTAAATTTGACTGAAGATACTTCTCTGATTACTTTTTTCATCTGCATGAACTTACTACTTGCCACTGAATCCTCGGATAGTACAGGTTTAGAAAGGGACTCTGAAGGTCTCCACACCAGCTTAAGATGTAAGATCCAAATACACCAGATGTTAGAGTCGAACATATGGTTCTGAGTAATCTGCAGTATATCTGCCAATAATGCATACAGAATTATTTATCTGTTGGGTATGCTTCTTCATGTGTCTCAGTTGCTAGAATACCTTAATTTCCCCACGCTACCTTCTGCCCTGACAGGTTGTGCTTTGAGAGAATTCTCCTGACTGGCCAGTTTATTTGTGCACCTACAGGCAAAGAGACAGCAAAACCAGTCCAAGACTTCCAAGACTTCATCCTGTGTGGCAAGCTATAAATGCCACATTCCCAGCTGCGTAACTACTCCTGATCTTAAGTGTTGATGAAGAAAAATGATGTTGTATTATCTTGTACTGTTGGTGACTCTCTGGCCAAGTATGAATTCTTCAGTGTCTATTTGCTTTTACAGTTTCTGCCATAATGTGCAGTATTCTTCCTGCACTATAGAAACCACAATTACAATGGTATTTTCAGCAAATGAGACCACTTCAGACATCTGCTGTAGTTTGTATTTTGCAAACTAAATGCTAACATTAGCATGCAGCACCTAGATGTGCTTTTTTGCAACTGCACTGCTTAGATAAAGTGGTAATTAACAGGTAAGTGTTCCATTCTAGCAGCAAGTTATTTACTTAACTTTCTTTTTAAAAGCAAAATGTCAGCAGAAAGGCACGGAAACCGGTGTCATTACTGCATTTATCTTCCTGTCCTATACAACACAAGCAGAAAACCTGTAACAGGTATTTTGCGCAGCCCAGAAATGTCATCACTGGCAGTCTGATTTGAAGTTGTATCCTCATTTGCTGTCCCCAGAATAGAAATGGCTGTGAACATTTGGGCTTTGATAACAGCCTAGATATGCACTTGCCTATATTTCACTCTGAGCCATGATGTTTGTTGCAGCCCAGCTTTAAGCCAGGAGACAGAAGAATAAACAGGTCCCACTGGCCTGAATGAGGTCCTGCGCCAGCCCTGCCCATCACCCTCCACATACAACGTGCCTGCAAACACAGATGAGTACTGTGGAACTTGAAATACAGGTGATTTCTTTCAGTGGGGTTAAAGGACAGGTTCTCTGCAGTGGGGGCTAGGAGTGTAGGTGAATGAGGAAAACAAATCACTTAATAAACAATACCTCTGATTAGATAGGGATGAACAAGCTGGACTTTGAGACAGTTAGGTAAGACTGCAGAGTACAGAAAACAGGAAACATCCAGCACGAGGCAGAGAGGTGAAGAGGAGGCAGACTCCACTCAGCTCATCTGTTCTGATTAGACTTTAACCTCATCACGCAGGCAGCACTCTCCCGGGGCACTCAGAGGCAGGTGTTTTTCATGTGGATGCATATTCTACTCAGATGTTCTTCTAAGTTTCAGCAATTTTTTCCACCTCATTTCAAACCCTTTCATAGGTCTGACCACGTACACAAGTTTTGATAAAATTCAGACTATGTCATTTCCAAAAGTGCAGAGGGAAGCTTTATGTTAGTTTTATTTTTGATCCTTCGCTTGATGGCCAGTTATGTAATCTCTGAAACTTCTTTATCCAGTTCTTTCTTTTCCTATGTATTTTTCAGGTGTACAACAATTTGTCTCTTGTCTGTCTTCATGTTTACTCATTTTCATTTTAAAGGTATACTAATACCAGGCAAAAATCAATATCAGAATGGTACTGCTAAACACACAGAAAAACACAATCAGCAACCAGGAGAATTGTAAGCAATTCTAAATTTTTTTACCTGATGTCTTTAAGCTAGGCTTTCCATGAATTTTGAAGTACTTCATCCAGCAACAGTCTTCACTCAAAACAGCAGTACAGAACTGATAGAGCCTTTGTAAGCGAGTATATTACAAGCATATTGCAAGGACAGCTATTAGATTGACTTCCGCTGCAAAAATCCACTACTTGCAAATGATACATTTGGCACTATCGAAAGCAAAACCACAAAATAAAACATAGATAATAGCTTAAACCTCCTATAAAGAAAGATTCTGGTGGTCTTTAAAAACTTATTTAATACGCAGAATACTTATGTCAACTTTTATATGGTAACTTCAGGTTGAAGAATCAACATTGGCAAAACATTCAAGCCATTCAAATACAAAATTCACTTCTGCTATGCCACTGACAGAAATATCACAGGATATCCCAAGTTGGAAGGAACCTATAAGGATCACTGAATTCAATTCCAGAGTCCACACAGGACCACATCTTCCAGCCTTCCTGTGCTGTGATGTATACTTTGAAGTCATCTGTCCACAGCCACTAATTCAATCTCTTTTGAAGCAGTTGCAGCCCTCTACAAAGGGTGTTCACACAGACAGACATCTTGCTAGCCACAGTCCCATTATGTTACTCTGAAAAAGGCTTAAACTAACAAACACACAAAAGCAAAATTCCAAAACTAGTTAGGTGATTGGAAAGCTGAGAGAGATGACAATACTATAAGTTCAAACACCAGCTGGGTTAAAGAGGTTTATAGTTCAGCTGATGCACTAATTTTGCTGTAGAAAAGTTTGTGTGGGTAGTGCTATCTTTTATGAGACAGGTTAGTTTCTGTGCTTAATGAAAGTACACTGTGTTCCCCTCACTGTGCAAGCTTATTATTCTTACCTTCTGTAGAGATACAATACCACTATAACTTCAGAGGTATTACTATCCCTAAACTATGTTTACAGAGTTCTGTTCTAGAGGTTGGTGGCCCTGCATGTGGAAGGGGGGTTGGAGTTTCATGATCTTTGAGATCCCTTCCAACCCTGGCCATTCTGTGATTCTGTGATTCCAGTAAGACTATTTTTAATGTTACTTTACTACTCATTTCTGTGGATCACAGTCTGCAGCATGGTTCTGCATGTTAATAGCAATGAACCCTACAGTGACATTATCTGGAGTGACTGATCATTCCACATGAAATGGCTGCAATTCCTAAATTAAGTGAGGAACTCAGCCATGAGGTTTTCACATTTCTATTGCTCAGAATCTCTGCTAGGACTTGTAATACTAGTGCTATTTGTGCTGAATTTTGGCTTAGAAAGAATGGAAAACACACACTAGCCACTACCCATATGGAAAAACTACATATGTAATTCTGAAAGAACAAAGAGTGGAAAGGGGCTACAGGGGATTACCTAAAGTGTTTTTAAAATATCAGACAATTTTTATCAGGAAGACTCCTCCAGATTTTCTGCAATAGTTACTCAGTCCATATCACAGATAACACAGGGAAAGAAACACTTCCATGTATTTTCCTGTCTACAACAGCTTCTAAACAAACTGGGAATGATAAGAACCAGACTTGGATTTTCACTGTGGCCTTGTAGAAGACTATCAGTATAACATCATCTTGGTCCCAAGAGAGTTTTAGACACTTTTTTTTTCACTAAAAACATTTTTAATCCATAAAAGATGCTTCTATGTTTGTGCTTCAGAAATCTTAATATGTATTGGAGTTCCCTTTCTTGCTAGGGTGGGAGAAATGGCACATAAAGCATA